TTTTACTCTTATATTTTTATAAAAAAACATATATATATATATATATATATATATATAATATGAGAGAATAGAATAATAAATTTACATAATTAAACTTTCTCGTATGTGAAAAATTAAGGTTATTAAAATCTTTTTATTAACATTTTTTTAACCTTTTTAATTTAAAAATAAATTTTGTTTAAAATCTTAACTAAAAATTATAACAGAAATAGAATATTTTGTCTTGTAACTAACTATATAAATATTTAGAATTAAAATTTAAAATAAATGAGAGATATAAAAATTTTGAATTATATTATTTTAACTGAAATGTGTTATTATTTACTATAAAGTTGAGACAATTCATGCCTCTAATAATTATATACAGACATAATATTATAAGATTATTTATAATTATTCAAAGAAAATACAAGTTTTTTTATTTTTTATATTTGAGAGGTATAATGATCTATTAAAAGTAGAGAACAAAAGCCATTACATATTCTTATATCTCTTTTATAATAAGTATAAATTTATCTTTTTATTTTGAATTATATTTTTATTATTTATTTATTAACTTCTTTGCGAGTTTTATCTCATGATTCTTTTGAATCCCCTGTAGTAAAATATTATCATCTTTTTGGTTGATCTGTTAAGTTCGTCTCTTAATTACCGTTATAATTTAAATTATTTAATAATTTAAATAATTATTTTTTTCAAAGTGGATTTTTCTCATCAAAATTAGATTGTAGTCGAACACCTACAAATGTAATCTTTTTTATTCTTCCACATAAATGAGTTTAGTTGTCATATTTACATAAAAAAGACATAGCTTTTATTAATAGTATAAATAGTGTACTGTTATTTTTTTATATTACAATTTGACTATACATTATCTAAAACATTCTATTAAGGTTTTGATTTTTATTAGTTTTCATTTTTGTATTTTATGGTTGATTTATATTAAGTTTGTGTCTTAATTATAGTGATAATTTAAATTATTTAACAATTAAAATAATTTTTTTTTATTTTTATATTTATAAAAAATAAATTGTTAGTTTTAATTATTATTATTATTATATACATATAATCTATCTATTGTAACAAAAAAAAATGTAGTTGAGTAGGTACGAGGTAGAGCGGAGATTTATATATCCACACTTAAACTTGATTTTCCAAGTTAGAAAAATTCGCATTGAAACATGTACTCGAGCAAAGCGGGTTTTTCTCGTCAAAATTAGATCGAAGTCAAACAAATACTTATGAGTGTAGATTTAATTGTGATGTCTACACAAAAAAGACATTTTTATTAATACCTTAATTAAGAGTATAGATAATTCACGGTTATTTCTTCATTATAACTTGACGATGCATTCTCTAAACACATGCTATTTAAATTTTAACTTTTATGAGTTTTCATTTTTGTATTTTGTGGTTGATTTATGTTAAGTTTGTGTCTTTAAATATTCATTTTATACTTGACTCATTAAAATGTAGTTTGAAGAACTTCTTATATAGTAATTATTTAAGTGGTTAAGTTTTGATATCTAATATGAATAGATTTCATAATACAACAATAGTATGATAAAACAAAAGGATAAATAGAAACATTTCATTAGTAAACTTTCTCTACTAGTATTGAAATTCATCTGTAATCTTCTAAAAGTAATGTCAGTTGAATATTAACTAATTTTTTACTAAGTGCAGATCTGATTTAAGTACTAATATATTGTGTGAATTTATAATATTATATAACAACATTGCTAACCGAATAAAAAAACTATAATAAAGTTAAACTTTGATAGAGTGCACGTTACTTTGATAATTTGTTACATGTATAAATAATATTCAAATAACAAACTAAAGAATTTTCCTACAATTCAAGTAAATATGTTAATTATTAAATGAGCACTTAAATTTGTATTAGAAATAGTAATTTAGCAATTAATACCAACTAGACGATACAATAAATAAAAACAAAATATTATCATTGGCTCTTCATAAACATACTACAAACCAATGTTTCAAACAATGCATTTAAAGGTTTACATGACAACCTATACTAAAAATAAGTCCGATCAAATTTTAATTCTATGGTTACAAAATTAATTATCAACCCTCTTAAAAAATATACATTTTTTTATTTTGTTATTATGATTGATATCATGTGAGGTAAATGAGTACTTTTATACAAGTTTTATAATATTGTACATATAAAATATTTTATAAATATTAAACTTTTCAAGGATAACCTATATTAAAAATAAGTTGATTCAAACTTTGGCCATATAACTATAAAATCAATTATTAATCTTATTAAAAAATTATCAATAATGTAATAAAATTAAATTTTATGGAGAAACGAGATAAATTTATGAAACTTAAATACCCTTTTATTTTATTTTATTTTTATTTACAATATAACCATACAATAATTTTTTATCATTTAATATTTAAATTTGAAAAATTATCTAAATTTAATATTTTTTAAATTTAAACATAATGTCTCTTTAATTAATAACTATGATTGTATAACATAATATATCTTTTATGTATGTCACATATTAAAATTTAAATATAATAAAATTAATAAAAAAATATTTTATTTACAATACAGTTATGAAATGATTGAATTATTTTATCATTTCACAATGTATTTACAAAAATATGTGACACTATAACTAAATATATTTTATATACTTGAATGTTTCATTCTCTTTGTAATCTAAGAAAAATTTAACAAGTAATTATGTTGATTAAAGTATCAAATTTTAATCTTATAAATATAAATATGTGTATTTTGAATATGTGTGAAAATGGAAGCGAGGCGTGCATTCATACACGAGTCACTGTGCCTTATTTTTTCAAAATCTAAAACATATACTTATTTACTAAATTCAATAATCAGTTGAATCTATTTTTATATAACATTAGTTTTCTTATAAACTATTTTAATTTTCATATTTGACTTTCATTTTCACTTCATATCTCAAATCTCAATATATTGGTCATGAGCCAATGAAAATTTGGTTGTATAGACTCCTAAGCTTTTGAATTTTTTTATTTTTTATTTTATTTTTTACCTATATAATCACATTTAATAAACTCAAATATATTATTTATTTGTCACGTAATTTTATATAAGTGATTTGTTTTATCTGTAATATGAATATATTGCTAAAATATATATGTTTAAAAAGAAAGAAGTGTTCAGTTGGAAATTAAATTAATATGTATAATTATTTCACTACAAAAAATTATGTAATTAGTAGGGGTTTTTTTCTGGCGGTTTCAGAAAACCGCCACAATCTTTATATACCTCTTCTATCTATTTATCTCACACGTGACAGCCATTTCTTTATTATATTATTTTAAAAAAATAAAAATAAAAAATAAAAAACTTTGTTCCCTATTCTTTTCTCACGTCATTCCTTCCCTCACTCACTCCCCGAGTGGCTTACTCCCAATCCCTCACTCACTCCTAGCCCTTATTGCTTTCCTTCAATGGCAATTCACACCCAGTCACATTCTGGTAAATTCCCCAAATTTTTTTATTTAAAAAAAATAGATAAAATGTTTTGAAAAGAGACATGTTTCTCAAGGAAGGATCCAAGGGGCAATGAATGGTTATAGTTTTGCAGAAGTTGTTGATGGCAGTGGTATGAGACTAGATTCAATTCATTCGCTCCTCTCTTCTCCTCAGAGAAATTGAATCAATCAAATTCAAATGGACGCTGTCAGAAAGCAAGTATCGAAGCTTCGGGAACAGGTCGCTCGCTAGCAACAGGTTCACACACTCTTCACCATATCCTTCACTTTCTCCGTTCCTTCTCTGAATTTCGTTATACCTTCTCACGCTTTTCGTTCCGTTTGCTATGTATCGTTGCTATTTTTCAATGCAATTTTCGTTTAACTCCTCGTAATTGTTATTCTCGTGAATATGAATCATGTTATACCGCAGAGTGTTGGATCTAATAGAATTCCGCACTTGCATTGCGGAAATCAATCAATAAATAAAACGTTGATTAGAGTTGAATTTTAAATCGGTGTCTTATCTTGCTTACGCGTTGAGCTCGGTAGCTAAATTCAGCCTCACCGAGCAATACGCATGTATATGTTTCCATCTCGATTACGGACAAAACTTAGATGCATTTACACATCGGTGATGCATGTACTTTTAGTGTTCTTCAATTAAATTTGGTGTTTCACAACATAAAAATCACATATAGAACTATATCTAAGATTTGTCTTTCATTAATTGTGAAGATTTTCATTTCCCTTTTTGTTCCTGTTTCTCAAAGGTTACTTCGTTTTGATTAGTTCATTTGAATCATTTCTCAATTATCAACTTGCTAATGAAAATTCAGAATTATTGCTATTTAGGTTGTTCTGAAACAGTTTGGAGGTGGCAGTTATGGAGGTTCAGATAATGTGGTTACCGATGGAGTGGAGCTGCAGCTACACCAGAAACTTGAGAGACTTTATATATCAACACGTGCAGGGGAGGTTAGTTGGTTCTTTGATTTCAATTCTTTGTTTCCATTCATAGTTCCTGTTGATTTATCCCATCTCCCTTCGGTTGATAATAGCTTCTAATGTGATTTCAGCATTATCAAAGGGATATTGTTCGTGGTGTAGAAGGTTATATTGTTATTGGGTCCAAGCAAGTGGAAATAGGTGCATAACATTGGTTATGAAGCTTTTATAAAAGTTTGTTGTTGTTATTTAGCATAAAATATTGTTGTTGAACTCCTATGCATGTTATGTAACAGGCGCAAAGTTGTCGGAAGATAGTAGGAAATATGGTGTAGAAAATACATGTACCAGTGGTACTACATTGTGTAGAGCTGCACTAAGTTTTGCACGAAAGTTTTTAAAAAGTATTTAAATAATTAGTGCATAACTTTTCTGATTTAGGCCTAAGGGGTAGGGTTGTGAATTGTTTGAAATTAGTCCCTTGTTGGTGAAGGAAGGCATTCTGTTCTATCCTGTTCATGTAGGAATTTAATATATTTTCCCCATTTTATTATGTGCTATACATAGTAAATGATCCTTTTTTTCAGGTAAAGAAAGTATATGGTGAGAAGATTATGAATATTGTCCATGATACTATAGTCGGGTGTTGCAAGATTTACCATTGCAGGTGATTTATTGCTATTTTTAGCAGGGAAATTGAAAGGTAGCCTTTTTTCTTCTTAATCATGGTACTGGTCGATCAATAGCTGGTATTGTGTTAATATTTTATGAGATTAAATGAGGTATTCTATCACAGGTTCTGTGGTATTCACCTTTTATATGTATACATACACTAGTGCATTACTGAATTGATTTACGGCTTTAACAAATCTGTTCCTCAGTACCAAATTACCAATAACAATGGAATTTGATATGGGGAACATTGGTGGTTATGAGGTGACTTTATTTGGCCTAATATCAAGTTGGAACTATATTGAAGATTGTAAAGTTCAAATGCAATCAATTAGTGTCATATCTTATTAGTGTGTTCCTAGCCTCAATTCTAATTCTGTTTTCTTGTTGGGATGGCTGCAATCTATGACTGAAGCTCTTTAAATCATTCACAAAATTCAAATCTCACAATTTTTTAAATGGACAAAGATAGCTTACTTTTATACAATGGTAAGAAAATGTCCAAATTTCCTTCCACACCCAATTTTTCAGTTTTTTTCCTTGCATTATATCTTCTGTTTTTGTTTTAATTTGAAATTAATGGCTTATTTCCAGGTCAACTTTACAAGGGTGCAATTGGGTATTCCAGCAGAATTTGTTTGCAGATTGACACTCGCAATGATGTTCCCTGTGTCAGTTGCAGCTCCTGCAGTGGTTGTCCCTAGACAAGTGAGCTTTCGGTAAATTCATTTTTTTTTCTCTTTTAATTCAATACTATCATGTTTATAAAATAGTAAAATCAATATACCCCCATACTTTGATGTTTGCTATATTTTGTTACTGATTGAGGTCAATTTTTTTGACCCCATCAATTTCTTTATTAAATGTTTTGTTCTAGCCAAAGGTGATATAATTGAATACAATCATCAGATGCCAGCTGTTCTAGTCAGAACAACCAGTGCTCTTACACTTTCCAGTATGGAGATGGTAGTGGGACATGAGGCTATTACGTGCCAGACATGATGCATTTGAATGTTGTTCTTGAGGGTTCTTTGACGACAAATTCTTCAGTGCATGTAGTTTTTAGGTAAAATTGCTATTTTTTGATATACTGTCAAACTTATATTTCTTTTGGTGGTTTTTAAGTAAACAATGTATATATGCTAATATGTACATATATAAATAATTCACTGACCAAACATAATGTCTCTTTAATTAATAACTATGATTGTATAACATAATATATCTTTTATGTATGTCACATATTAAAATTTAAATATAATAAAATTAATAAAAAAATATTTTATTTACAATACAGTTATGAAATGATTGAATTATTTTATCATTTCACAATGTATTTACAAAAATATGTGACACTATAACTAAATATATTTTATATACTTGAATGTTTCATTCTCTTTGTAATCTAAGAAAAATTTAACAAGTAATTATGTTGATTAAAGTATCAAATTTTAATCTTATAAATATAAATATGTGTATTTTGAATATGTGTGAAAATGGAAGCGAGGCGTGCATTCATACACGAGTCACTGTGCCTTATTTTTTCAAAATCTAAAACATATACTTATTTACTAAATTCAATAATCAGTTGAATCTATTTTTATATAACATTAGTTTTCTTATAAACTATTTTAATTTTCATATTTGACTTTCATTTTCACTTCATATCTCAAATCTCAATATATTGGTCATGAGCCAATGAAAATTTGGTTGTATAGACTCCTAAGCTTTTGAATTTTTTTATTTTTTATTTTATTTTTTACCTATATAATCACATTTAATAAACTCAAATATATTATTTATTTGTCACGTAATTTTATATAAGTGATTTGTTTTATCTGTAATATGAATATATTGCTAAAATATATATGTTTAAAAAGAAAGAAGTGTTCAGTTGGAAATTAAATTAATATGTATAATTATTTCACTACAAAAAATTATGTAATTAGTAGGGGTTTTTTTCTGGCGGTTTCAGAAAACCGCCACAATCTTTATATACCTCTTCTATCTATTTATCTCACACGTGACAGCCATTTCTTTATTATATTATTTTAAAAAAATAAAAATAAAAAATAAAAAACTTTGTTCCCTATTCTTTTCTCACGTCATTCCTTCCCTCACTCACTCCCCGAGTGGCTTACTCCCAATCCCTCACTCACTCCTAGCCCTTATTGCTTTCCTTCAATGGCAATTCACACCCAGTCACATTCTGGTAAATTCCCCAATTTTTTTTATTTAAAAAAAATAGATAAAATGTTTTGAAAAGAGACATGTTTCTCAAGGAAGGACCCAAGGGGCAATGAATGGTTATAGTTTTGCAGAAGTTGTTGATGGCAGTGGTATGAGACTAGATTCAATTCATTCGCTCCTCTCTTCTCCTCAGAGAAATTGAATCAATCAAATTCAAATGGACGCTGTCAGAAAGCAAGTATCGAAGCTTCGGGAACAGGTCGCTCGCTAGCAACAGGTTCACACACTCTTCACCATATCCTTCACTTTCTCCGTTCCTTCTCTGAATTTCGTTATACCTTCTCACGCTTTTCGTTCCGTTTGCTATGTATCGTTGCTATTTTTCAATGCAATTTTCGTTTAACTCCTCGTAATTGTTATTCTCGTGAATATGAATCATGTTATACGTTAATCTAAACAATTCAAACCATGTGAAATATACCTTGGTATCCACCATTTGCTCAAATTACTTTCCTTTTCAATCTTCTTTAATATTTTAGGAAGAATATCTCCTTGATGTAATGTGATGCATTTATACGGGTCAACAATGTACAACTCAGTGAGGCCAATATATGCACAACACACAACAAGATTTATTCATACAGGAACCAAAATAAACCACAAATTTCCACCAACGCATTCTTTGGGACCACACCAAAACCAACGAACCCAATGTTTGGGACCACACCAAAACCAACGAACCCAGTGTTTGGGACCACACCAAAACCAAAATCTCCCCAATAAACATCAAAACGCAACTCATAACCCAGTCCCACTCTTACCCGTAGCCCTAAAGTGAACCCAACAAGACCCTTTAATCAAAAAAACCATAAACAAAGGACTTACCCTATTAGAACAACACAAAAACGTCGCTTCTTCTTCTTCAATGCATGCGCCTTCTTCTTCTTCTTCAAAACCCTAAGAAAAACTTTATCTCCAAACAAACTAATGAATCAGACTTCTCTCGTTTTCTCTTCTCTCTCGTGCGGTTTTGGCACAAAAAATACTCTTTCCACGTTGGAAATCCACGTCAGCATTAATTACAATTATCACATTTTAATTTTTTGCCACGTGGAAAAAATCCAAACGGCGTTAAACAAATTTTGACGGAAGGACCACATTGAAACCAATTAATTTATTAGGGACTAAATTGAAACCAATTAATTAGTTTGGGACCAAATTGAAACCAAAAATTAAAATGGGACTAAATTGAAACAAAAAATTATTATAAGGGACCAAATTAGGTTTTTAGCCAAGAAAAAAACATATATACAACATGAACCATCAACAACAATATATATCATCATATCTTCATTTCATCTTCAACACTACCAACAAAACAACATCACAACACAAGTAAACTATATATCAACACGAACAACTTAATATATAACTACACAATAATCAACTTTAATACCACAACGGGAACCATACAGGGTCTTAACACTCAACAAGGCATTTTCAACACAATATATACAATACAACATTAGGTACGTCATCACGTACTTCAACTAGGAGATCTCTTTCAACATAGGGTGAAAAGTTTAAGTGGCTTTCCCCTACCGAACTAACAACAGAAGATGATCTTTTTGACTTACTAGCTCAACAACAATTTGGATATTAATCACAACACAACAACTTGATTTCTCGATGTTGTCACTTAAACAAGGAAGCATAGTACTATTATCAGGGTAGAACAACTAGGTTTAGGCCTACCACAACATTAACTAGCTTAACTTAGCCTCCTATGCAATTAGCCCACTGACTACCTTCTAAATACTACACTTTTTTGATACTCGGTTAGAAACTAAGTTCTTAACTTTGTATTTTACTCAGTTGGTCACTTGTAATCAGTATAATTTGACCTAACTCATATACTATGGTCGTTTTATATGTGTGTGTCTTGACCTTGTCTAGCCATGGTACCAACTAAGTCCTAGAGGAGATTCAACACAACTACCCACTTCAATGGTCAATTTCCCAAAATTTATTTTCAACAATAAGCTATTAGAGCACTACAACATAATATTCTTATAATGGAATATTTAACTTTTTAAAAATCCCTCTTATAGTGCTAAGTTGGTCATCACAACTCAAAAACACTATGCTTAAATGCCTAAAACATTCTCAGCATTCATAATTTTAAGAAAATAACAACATCATGCATATATCTATTTCAACACAACTACACAACCACATAACCTTCAACTCATCTCAACTTTCAACTAACAACTCATACAGAACCATAACATACACATTATTCATGCAACTCATTCATCCTCATTTAGTCATCAAACAACTCAATCAACAAGTATTTAACAATTCATCAAATCAATTAACATTTCTTTAGCAACCAATGCCCGATGCCACACACCCAACGCTTGATGCCATCCAAGTAGGAAACTCTCTACCTCGCCCACGCTTAGTGCTACACAACCTACACTCGGCATGGATAAAGTAAAGGCCTCTGGATCCTCGTGCCCGACATGATAAGGTACCATGCTTGACCTCATCTCAGGTAAGGAGTTTTGACTAACTTATGCTTGGTGTCACCATACTAATGTCCAGTGTCATCCAAATAAAGAGCTCTGGTTTGGCCATGTTGGGTGTTACTCAACCTTGGGCTTGACGTTACCAAGTCAGAAACCTCCTAGTATCCTCATGCTTAATGCCATTTAAACCATGCTTAGTGCCAATTTAATCCGAGACAAGTCTTTCTCCTCAAGGTCAATGCCTTGAAAGCACACCCAACGTGATATCAGAACTCTACATGTGCAGAGTCCAATTTTGACACAACTTGAAACTCAGCAAAGATCCAACACATGCAACATCAAACAACAGTCATACACATTACAACCAACACATATACACTTAAAATCAACATGCAACCACAAACCATTCACTACCATCCAATTCCTCTTTTGAACCCCAAATCCCAACCTTCACATAAACCTTCTCTAATTCAGTCAACTTAATCATAACATCACAAAATCCAAACAATATTTAGCGTCAGGATTATCCAACAAATCCAAACTACAACATAGAAGCCACAAATCCAACTTCCCTTACCTCGATGGAGAACGGAATTAAGGTAGGAGAAGAGAAACGGAACCCCACACTAGATAAACAATTTGATTCAAGGTTTTCACTACTTGAATCACAACAAAACAACCTAAGATCAACTAAAAAGAAGAAGAATCTCATTGAAAGGGAAGATGCACGGAGAAAAACTATACGGACCAAAGTCTATCTCTCTAGAATCACTTTCTCTAAGTTCCTGATGAATGGAGTTTATGAGACTCTATTCAAAATATAAACCTTATTTCACTATTTTCTATATAGATATTTGAATATTGTTATTCCTCCATCTATGCGCTTTTTTCGTTGCTTTCTAGAACTCCTATTTTATTGGTCTGTTGTATAAGGTTGTAATTTGTTGGATGCCATATCAGTTCAGGCTTTTGAGCTTTTCAGTTTCTTC